TGTTGCATCCTTTGCCTGAAATGTTTAGCTCCTCTCCCCAACTCTTACTCATCATCAGACCTGGTTGGTGCTTCTGTTCTTAGGAGAGCAAGTGCCCTGGCTGCCCTGGGAGGATAGGCTTCCTTGGGCTACACATATACAAATGCCTGCTTCCTTCCTGCAGGGTCTAATTACAGTTTCTATAGCCTGATTATTTGATTCATTCCTGCCTGCTCCACTAGAATGAATGAATTCCTAATACTCAAAGTTGACCTGAGCCTCCCACCCTAGGGCTGCTGGTGAATGAATGATTTTTTGGTTAGGCCTGGGGAGAGATCCTCTTAGACTCGCCTCTGGACCCAGGGTTCACCTTCCCTTCTCCTCCCACTGGTATCCTGATGGGGGTGGGAGATGGGGATGGGGTATAGTTGGTATAGTCTCAGTCCCTGAGATCCTGCTGGCCACATGGGGAGAAAGACAAGGTCTGACCCAATGTCCTGCCTGTGGCACTTGCCACGTCCCCTACGGTACCATTGTTGAGTGAATGGAGGCCTGTTGATTTATTCCCACCATACTCCTTCAGCAGAGGCCTGTCTGAGCCTCCTGCCTCCTCCCTCTCAGTGTTCCCACCCCGACTCCCAAGTCTCTAAGGAGCCCAGGCTGTGAGGCATCTGAGTCACTCAGCCCCTTTGACCTCCAGCACCACACCTTGACAAGTGACCCTGTGATGGCCCCAATTTTTTCTTTGGCTCATGGCCTGCCTTTCTAATGAAGCCACAAGATCCTGAGGGCAAGGACTCCACCCTATTCCTCTGAGAGCCTAGTGCTAGTGAGAATTACAGGAGGGGACTGCTGGGGCTGGGGAGAATACATTTCATTGACACCTCACAATAATCCTGAGAGACATTATCATTTCCTTTTGAAAGGCTTTGTAAATTGCCTTAGGGCACGCAGCAACCTGGGATTCTCTCCTCTGGCTCAGACATGGTATAGTACAAGGTATCAAGGTATCAGCTCCTCAAGTGCTGTCAGGGTCCAGCCACCAAGGCAGGGACCCAGGCATCACCTTCCCTGAGCTGTCCTCACCTGTAAACTGGTGTAACTACCCATCTCATAGGATGGTAAGGATGTGCAAATGAAGACAGGGCCAGTGCACGCACTCTGTCTACAGCTGAGGAAGTGACGGGACTGGCACGAGGCTCTGGTTCCCCCATCTCACACCACGCACAGTGGGCAGGATGGAAGTGAACTGTACACATTTCATAATGCCCGGGGGGGGAGGTAACCACCACGTCCCTTCCCCATGTGTCTTAGAAAATGTCACTGTGTGCCTCACCCCTGCACTCATATATAACCATCCTCTGGTCTGCCCCCTCATGCTCTGGGAGTGCTCCCATGCCCAGGTAACCCTAATCTTCCTGGATCCTTCCTGATGCCCCAGGCCCTACCAGGTCCCCCCCCTTGCTTGGGTCTCCATGTCCTACCTGTCATATTTCATGATAGTGTTAAGCCGGTGTGCGATGGTCAGGACAGTGCAGGCATCAAACTGGGTACGGATAGTATCCTGGATTAAGTCATCTGTCTCCATGTCAATGGCAGCTGTGGCCTCATCTAAAACCAGGATGCGGCTCTTGCGAAGCAGGGCTCGAGCCAAGCACACGAGCTGCCTCTGGCCTACACTGGGAATGGGGAAGGAAGGCAGACATTTCCAGCTGGGTACCTCTCCAAGCTGCCTCCAGACCTAGCTCCTGACCCGTCTCTGTCTCTACCCCTTCTCAGTGGCCCAGGACTGGCTTTCTGTCTAACCTCTCCTATTTCTGCCATAGCCCATCCTATAACAGAGTAGGAGTCTGGATACCATGGGGTAATGAGGGGCCTTGGGGACAGAACCTGTGCTAAGGGTGGTGCCTGTGCTTCAGTGAGTAGGGCGCCAGCCCCATATACCAAGGGTGGCAGGTTTGAACTAGGCCCCGGCCAACTGCAGTGAAACAAAAAAAATAGCCAGGTGTTGTGGTGGGTGCCTGTAGTCCCAGCCACTTGGGAGGCTGAGGCAAGAGAATCACCTAAGCCCAAGAGCTGGAGGTTGCTGGGAGCTGTGATGCCATTGTACTCTAGAGAGGGTGATAAAGTGAGACTCTGTCTCTTAAAAAAAAAAAAAAAGGTAGAACCTGTGCTAAAAAATACTGTGAAATCTCTAGTCTGTTCTAGCACCCCCAGCCTCATCTTTCTGTGCCTTCCTCCCCATCTTCATTTCTCTCATCTGGTGCTGCGATGTTTCTCTGCTTCACTCTATCAGTCATTTACACCTTAGTAAGAATATGCTTGCATTTCTTTTCTTGGATATTTGCACATAAGCCACACTATGCCATCTTGCTGTGCCTAATATTACACAATTCAGGTAGTCATCTCCCACACCAAGGGGAATACAGGCCAGGGCTCTGTTTAGGGCAGTGGTTCTCAACCTGTGGGTCGCAACCCAGAGGAACTGTATTAAAGGGCTGCAGAATTAGGAAGGTTGAGAGCCACTGGTTTAGGGGATGAGAAAGGGGCAAAGCAGGGGAGGACCTAGAGTCTGCCTGTGTCTGGTCACTGGGGAGCCAAAGGAAGGGTGGAATGCATAGCTTCCTTCTTCCTTGGAAGCCAGAGCCAGTGGACAAAGTGAGGCTGTGTTCCCAACCACAGAGGCTACAGCACCCCCACACCCAAGGACAAATACCTCAGCCCTTCCCAAAGGGGTGAGTCACCACAGCCAGGGTAAAGGCCAGGCTCTCTCCCTGGCCCATTCCCGCAACTAATGAAG